GACTACTAGAAAGTTCACCTTATCCATCAGGGAGCATTTGTATTAAGATTGCTGGATGGGAATTATTTGCTTCTTAGCTCCTACTGTACACATCAGATTGGTGAGAGCATGGACTACTCCTGCATTTACTTTCCCAAAGTGCATGTAAAATATGATTCTAATCTGTACTGTTGATTGAGAGTGAGCTCAAGGTTAATTAACCCGGCCTCTCTTTTTTTCCTTTTTGGAGTGGGATCTGAACAGATTAAAATAGATTTAACATTCTATAAACCTATATTAAAGTACATCTTTTAGCTGTGGCCAACACATCCATTATGTCAAGTGTGTAGGACACTTTTCTCAGCCCAAATGTTGCAATCCCTTGTGAGGGCAACCTTCCAGGTGCCTATATGCCATATTACCTTGTCATAATGAGGACCGTATACAGATAAAGTCATTCTAATATCAAACTTACTTTTGCTTAACACCAGGCTACACCATGTCTGGAGTGATCAGCTGCAAATGAGGACTGTTCCTTTAATTGCTAGGCAGAAGAGGAAATTCTGGCAGGTGCTGTTTTTCATGCAGGGGGTGAGAAAAGCTGTAACAGAAAGCCAACTTCTCACAGAAAGCCAACTTCCCACAGAAAGCCAGACAAATGGCCCATCTAGCTGAAGGTTTCAGGCAGGAAGCCTTACTAGCCCTACCTGGAGACATCAATGTTGAACCTAGGACCTTCTGCATGCAAAGCAGATGTTCTAACACCAAGCCAAGGCTCAAAATGGAATGGTGTGTATGACCAATGTTGTGTTAAGTGTTGCTAAGCTGGGAGCTACAACTCTTGCCATGTCTCCCCATTGGCCATGCAGAATGTGGCTGATGGGAATTGTAGTTCACTAACATCTGGATGGCCACAGCTTAGCCACCCTTGCATCGGCATAAAGAAGGAGAGTTTTGTTGGCACAACCATCCCTGCTTTCTCAGGTACAAGTAGAAAGTGTTTTGGGGAAGAGCAAACTTGCCTAGTCAGACCAGCAGTGACTCTCTAGTTATTCAAACAGGAGGCATTGTCCAGTTCTACCTGGAGTTGCTGGGAATTGAATTTGGGGGGGTCTGCATGCAAACCTGATACTCTTCCACCAAGTTACAAGGGTTTCGTGGCTCCCCTTCCCCCAAACAAAAAACAGGCTCAATTAATAAGAAGCTGCCTTATACAGAGTCAGACCACGGGTCCACCTTGCTCTGTATTGTTTACATCACTGTTTCCCAAACTTGGGTCTCCGGCTGTTTTTGTACTACAATTTCCATCATCCCTAGCTAGCAGGATCAGTGGTCAGGGGTTATGGGAACTGTAGTACAAAAACAGCTGGAGACCCAAGTTTGGAAAACACTGGTCTACACTGATCAGCAGCAGAGGTGGATTTAGGGCATCACAAGCGGTTCCCCTGCACTGGGTGCTGAGCTGATGGAGACTCTGCAAGGCATTGCAACTATGTCATAGTGAATTGAGAAGAGCGGAAGGCGAGAGGTGGGGGTCACCAAATGTTGGCCTTGCATAGGGTGTCGCTGACATTTGAAAGACCAAAACCTACCCCTGCTGGCAACATCTCTCCAGCATTTTAGCCTGGTGTTTTTCAGCCAATAAATGCCAGGGATTGGATTTAGGACTGTCTGCATGAAGAGCAATGGCAGAAACACGCAGCTGGCCATTGCTAAGAGAAGTTTCTCTGGAATCAAGAGACTTTGCCGCAAAGTCACAAATAGTAGCCAAGGGAGCCTAGCTACCTCTCCTCTCCTTTTTTGTCTTTCACACATTCTCACAAATTGGGTCTCCAAGGACCCTTCCATTTTTAATGCTCCAAAGCCTCTAGCTGTGTCAGGAAGTTGTGGTAGCTGCACTTATTTTTATTTGTTTATTGCATGCTGCCATGACAATCCCTCCTTTGTAATGGTTTCAGGGTTTGCCATACAAAACAGATGCACAGCAGAGAAATGTACCCCCCGCCTGATATGGGGAGCAGAGGAACCTTATTCTTGGAGCCATTGATATGCATAGTTAATACACCACTTCCAATGGGGCTTTTCAACAACATACTTAAAAAATGCACTGCTCTCTGTGTGTGTTTTGAAGTTTAATGTTGAATAACCCACTCATGTGCCTTCTTTAAACTTTCCTTAGAAGCCCCCCCCCCCCATGACACTCCACAACAGAACCTTGCAGGGCTGTTGTGATTATAAAAGGGTTGAGAAGAACCATGTGCACTGCCCTGAACTCCATGAAAGGGAAAGAGAGATGTAATAAATAAGTACGTACACTGGTTTACTCCCACACTACATGGATACCTATAGCTCAATTCACAGAATGAGATGTAAACAGGTTGCACTAAATTGGAGAGCATCAAACAAATAGGTGGGAGGAGGAACAAGGAAAGACAGAGCTCTATTTTAAAAGTTCTGCTTTTAAAATTGTATTCCCTGATTTTATTATTCTCTTGCATTGAGCAGGAAATGATCTCCGTTGTACTTTTCAGCTGTAAAGTTGTATCCAATGTGAGTCCTATGTGGAGTAGGCCTATTGAAAGGAATGGACTGAACTTAGGCATGTTCATTAACTTCAGCGGGTCTATATACTCTGAATAGAACTTAGTTGACTAGTGCCCAACTAAATTTTTATTACTTCAGTGGAATTTTAAAATTCATCATACCATGATTCTAAAACATGGTTCTGTGATTTCAAATTCCATGATTCCATGCATCAAGATGCCAGCCATCTTGCAACAAAGCTGGGTTCCAGTTCGGTCTTCCCCAAAATGCTTCCTATTTGCTCCTAAGCAGGCAGCTCTGGTTTTGCCAGTTTGGCCCTTCTTCTTTGAACTGATGCAAGGCAGGGGTGGCTCACCTGTGGCACTCCAGATACTGCTGAACTACAAGTCCCATCAGCCCCAGTCTGCATGGCCAAATATCAGGAATGAAGGGAGCAATTTCTGGAGGGCCACAGGTTGGCCACCCTCTAGTGCAACGCCAGCCACACACACGCAGCATCCTGTTCTGTTCTCAGCAGTAGAGCCTCTGCATTGCATGCAGAAAGACCCTGGTTCAATGCAGGAATCTCCAGCTAGGGCTTGGAATGTCCCACATCTGAAACCCTAGGCTGCTCCATTTGGGCAAATGGGACACTGCCCCACCAACCTCAGTTTGCCCTCAGCCAGGCCCCAGCTTGCCTCCTCCTTATTTGCAACCTGTGCAAGGGGTGTCACTGCCTTTGTCAGCTTCGTCCTCCTGCATAGTCTCAGTGTTGTCCTTGCAGAACCCAGCAGAGAAGAGGAGAGAGGTGAAACTAGAATTAGTTGTCTTCATGCAGTGGCAGCTTGTACATATTGGGACTGGTAGGGTGGAAGACAGGAAGACCAACGGTAGGTGGCACCAAAGCCAATTTTGCTCTGCTTTTGTCCCCATCTTCCTCCCTGCTAAGTTTTGCAAGGGGCTACACTGACTGATGCAAGGGACATGGGTGGTGCTGTGGGTTAAACCACAGAGCCTAGGGCTTGCCAATCAGAAGGTCAGCGGTTCGAATCCCCACGATGGGGTGAGCTCCCGTTGCTCGGTCCCTGCTTCTGCCAACCTAGCAGTTCAAAAGCACCTCAAAGTGCAAGTAGATAAATAGGTATGGCTCCAGTGGGAAGGTAAATGGTGTTTCCATGCACTGCTCTGGTTCGCCAGAAGTGGCTTAGTCATGCTGGCCACATTACCTGGAAGCTGTACGCCAGCTCCTTTGGCCAATAAAGCAAGATGAGTGCCACGACCCCAGAGTCATCCGCGACTGGACCTGATGGTCAGGGGTCTCTTTACCTTTACACTGACTGAGAGGAAGGAAGAATAAGCTAGCCCTCTGAAAAGGCAAGGTGAGACAACCTGCTCAGATGGCAGGGTCTGCCAGGGCAGCAGATCCCAGTGCCAGTCTTTCTCTCCCTCATATTCTTGATGTAAATCTTTCCAGACCACTTCTTCGCTGGTGGAGAAGGGGGTGCTATTTTGGGGTCTACCTTTGGTGCCAAAATGTCTTGGGTCAGTCCTGATTGTAAGAAAACAGGCAGTCAGGAGTAGTGGCGGTTGGCTGAGGTTGATGAAGCAGTGCATCATCTGCCTTAACAGACCAGCCTCCATTGGCTCTGCCCATCCTTCACCCTTGCATCACCTTCTGTTTGGGCACCCTGCCTCCCATCCCACCAGCAGTACCAGCCAAGCCATATCTCAGTGGTAGAGCCTTGCATGCAGAAGGGCCCAGGATCAATCTCTGGCACCTCCTAGTAGTGCTGGGCAAGTTCCCTGCGTCAGCCCTGGAGAACTGCTGCCAGTCAGTGTAGACAATGCCAGGGAAGATAGGCCAATGGCCTGGCTCAGTATAAGGTGGCTTCTGTTTCCAAATGGGGCGCCTGCCAGTCAGAGCAGGCAATGCTGAGCTAGGTGGACCAAGGGTCTGGCTGAGTAGAGATAACTTCCTACACCTCTCCTAGTCTGAAGCAGAGTCTTGTGTGACCCCAGGTCTGCCTCCCTGAATTTTTGTTTTAAGCTAGCCAATCCCAATAGTGTCTCTGGGTTTCCCATTCTGCCTCCCAGCCTCCTGACTCCTGGAAGCGGTGTGTGTGTATTGCTATTGCTGCTGCTACTGCATGTCCCAGCTTGGTGCATGTTGCCGGTGCTGCAGCACTGAGCGCGATGGCAGCAGCACAGCCGTGGGGGTGGGGGGACCCCGCTTTGCCCAAGCCTGGCTTATGCCTACTCCCCGTCCTCGGCAGCCGGACCCAGAGCTCTGGCTCCGGGAGGGTTAAGAAAAAAGCGGGGCGAACTCCTCGCTTTCTCTACCCCCCCTCCTCTCCGCCCAACCCCGCCAGCCCCGCGGCCGCTCCGCTGTCCTCCGCTCCGCCGCCGAGATTAATGCGCGGCTCCTGCCCCACCGTGCAACGTGTGGCTGTGCCGGGGAGCCCCGAGTGTTGGTCAGTCGCTGCCATGACAACCCTCGGATGTCGGCGGGCGCGCGCGAGAGGGATTCAGAGGAGATGCTCCCGGCGAGGAGGAAGAGCGGAGCGGGGATGCTGAAACTGGCGGCGGCGGTGGCGAAGAAGAAGAAGAAGCAGGAGGAGGAGAGAAAATCGGCGGCGGCGAGAGCAGGAGGAATAGCAGCTGCCTACGGTTCCCGCTCGCTGCTCCTGCCAGCCCGCGTCCTTTAAAGTGCTGGAGAGAGGCAGCCGAGCCTGGTCCGAGGGGTTCCTCTCTGACTATCTGTCTCTCTGCCGCTCTACCTGGAGCTCGCTCGGGTGGAAACGGAGAGAAGCGAGCGAAAGCTTGCCTTTTGCAGAGCCTGCCAGGCAGTGGGAGCGGGCTGGGTCCCCCCAAACCCTTGCCTTGCGAACCTTCCTTGGACTTTGGAGAGCTCTGTCTTGACGCAAAGGAAGTTTGGAGTGACATTCTGTGTGTGCGGATTGTAATTTATATAGGATCGTTGGAGAAGGCTTTCTTGCAGCGCCCAACTTGCCCCTCTCCCTATCCTTGGGTCCCCCCCCTTCTCTCGGTCCTCCCTTCCTATTTCCTGCCCAAGAGAGCGGGTGGAAGAGAGAGGGAGAGAGAGTTGCATTGCCCTCCCTTCTTGGGTTATAAACTTTTGATGCCGGATCTGCGCAGCGCCTGCCCGACGGAATCTTAAGGTGGCATCAGGGAAAAAAGAAGGAAAAACAGGCGGGGAAGAAGAGCCGTGACCTTCCTTCTTTCCTTCCTCTCTCTCTCTCTCTCTCTCTCTCTCTCTCTCTCTCTCTCGTCTCTGAGCTCAGCCCCGTGCCAGCCGCCTCCTCCTCTTCCTCCTCCTCCTCTTCTGCTCCCCTCAACCTCCTGCGCCCGGCACCCAAGAAACACTGGGGACCACTTTCTAGATGCTGTTTGGGAGCTTTGGATCTCCGGTTTCGGATTGCCTCTGGGGACTTTGCTAATCCGTCCGTCAGGCGTCCCCTTCTCCGTCTCTCTTCTCTGCCTTCCACCCCCAAAGAGCCTCTTCAGTTCATCTCTTTCCCACTACCACCGTTGCCTATCTTTGCCTTGAGGAAAGCCCAGGATGGGGGTCGGTGGGTGCTTAGTCCTGCCCTGGCGGTGCCTGGTCGTCCTGTCTCTCAGGCTCCTCTTCCTTGTGCCCGCAGGAGTGCCAGTGCGCAGCGGAGATGCCACCTTCCCCAAGGCGATGGACAACGTGACCGTCAAGCAAGGAGAGAGCGCCACCCTCAGGTAGGAGCAGATGCTGGGTAGCTTTTTTGTGTGTGTGGCGTGGCTTCTTATTTATTGCCCGAGGGCATTTTGCTTCTTTTATGATGGAGCTGGAGAAGGTGCCTGGTGTCTGGGAGGAGAGCTTGGACGGTGTTGGTGGGGAGGGAAAGGGTAGCTTCAGGCTGGCACCGGCCCTTTCTTGAAGCAAGGTTGTTGTGTGATGATGTGGTGTCTGGGAATGGCGCTGTGCACGAGAACCCTGAAATCCTGCTGCTTCCCCGAGCTTGGGGGCATATCAGACTGCTGGGATAAAGGTGGAGGAGGGATGCTGGCGATGTTGTGAAAAAGCCATTCGGAGGATGGCTGGCTGGCTGGCTGGCTGGCTGTGGCGGGATCTGCAGCAGAATGTTGTGGACACGTTTGACTGCTCATTATCAGCAGTGGAATGTGGCAGGGAAGGGTGGTGGAGATGAGAAATAGATGCCCACTTCTTCTTTTTTAAGGACTTGCATGCCAAGCAGTTCAGTTGGTCGTGTTTTGTGGCTGGTGCCAGGGTGTGGGCTCATTGGAGAATGCAGGTGCCAGACAGTTGGTGAGGTTGAAGTGTCAGACAGAGTGAGCTTTACACAGCGCCAGGGACATTGGTTTTGTTTTGAAAGTGGTTTAGTGCAAGAAGGAGCAGGTGAGGCAAGAGGAGATGTGCTGTGCATGTGTTCTGGTGTGGGGCACACTGGAGGTTTGCATTTCGTGGCACTCCCCCTCCCTATAGATCTAGCTGGTTTCCAGGGCCCTGATGTCTCTCTCCCACCCCCTGTGCAACCGTTTTATAGTCTCTGCACGAATCTGTTAATATCAAATCAATCTTTTACCCCTGGGGCACCTCCTATGAATTCACACGGACTGCTTTTGTTTTTGTTTTTTTGTTCTACCTTGCACTGCTTAGCCCTGTGAGAAATGCAGGTGGTTTATATACAGATGGCCCACTTCTCTGCCAACCCTCTCTCTTCAGTTCCTGACTGAGTTTTACAGGCGCAAGCATTGCCTCTAGAAGCAGGGTGGTGGTGGTGAGATTTTGGATGTCTGAAGCATAGTGGAGAAAGGCAGGCAGCCTCGAGTGGTGGGTACACTTGACTCACCTTTTAATTTTGAACAAAAGGAGGGGGTTGTCCAGAGATACATCATCAGCATCATGACATTTGAAGTACCCATCTCGGTTGTATGGCTTAAATGCTACCTAGCTTGATTGGTCAGTGAGGCAAACCACGCCCAGGAATGCAGAACTGGGCCAAGGAGAAGATTCTGTGTATGGGTGTGCCTCCCCCAGGATTTAAATACTCTGTTTAGTCTGTAATAATAGTAATAATTTGCTTCAGCCATCTGAAACTGTTTTTATTACCCATTATTTGAATTCTACAAGCATATGCCTGTACACATATGCCTTTTGTTTTTTGCAATAAGCTGTGTTTATAATTGTGAAAGTAAAAGAAAGGGACGTGTTTAAGGATGGTGCTTAATTTCTAAACTGATAGCTGCTGTGATTCATACCTTTATAAATATCAAGCTCTCCAACCTATTGCTTGCTACAAATCAGTCACTCAGGTATCATCAGTGGGTCGACTGCTTTACAGAGTATAAGAGGACCTGGAAGCCCCTCAACGCTAATCTTGGACACATAGCTTCTGTTTGCTGTATATGCACATTGAGTGATTTGCACTCTGAGTATGCTCTGTGGCACCCTTTACCATTACTTCATGAACTCCAGGCCTGGTTTTGACAGCAGGGTCATTTGCAGTTCCACCACCAATCTCTCCATCTGCCAGAGTATGAAGTACTTGAAGCTGGAATTATGACATTTCAGGAAAGTTTTAGACAAGCCAGAAAATAGAGTTGAAACAGCATTTTACTTGTGGAGACCACATCACCCTGGGGCATCTGACTGGACTTGTGAAGAGCACATGAGCATCATTCTATGATCAACTCACTGGGGGAGGAGGGAATATGTGGTCTCAAAAGTATTGCTTGACTAAAAAGCCCATCATCCCTGACCAACAGCTATGGTGGCTGGGGTTGATGGGAGATGGAGCCCAATGGCACCTAGTGGGCTACAGGTTCTCCATCACAGAGCTAAATGAGCTAATAGGGTCACTCACAGAAAAGATCTGCCAGTAGTTACAATCCTATGTATGTCTGCTTGGAAATAAGATTAAGACCCATTGAGTACAATTGACCTTGCTCCCAGGTACATTCATATGGGATTGCATCCATAGGGGCATCTCTGCACAGCTGAATTAAACTGGAATAACAGCAGCATTTTTTTCTTCTGTAAGGAACCCTGCAAACTGTGATTCATTAAAAGAAAGGGGCTGAGAATGACTGACACTTGGCTCATCCATGCTTCCTCCATTCATTTTCCAGAGCCATTCTCCTCCAGATCACCAGCTTCCCACACTTTCTCCTCCTTCAATCCACATTTTCTCATGCTCCTCTCTTTTTCAGAGTATATCTGCTATGAAAACAAAAACAAAAAACCAAGCTAGATTAAGGGAAGGAGAAGTGTGGTAAGACAGCGATTTGGAGAAGAAGAACATCTTGTGGACAATGGAGAATTAATGGAGGTTCAGGAAGCTTGTGACCCACATGAAACAACAGTATACGTGTGCCCTATGTCTCTTTGGCACTTTTAGAAAACTACAGCTCCCAGGATTCTAAGAGCAGCCAAGGATGGTAAAAGTAGGATGAATCCAATCGAAGGGCTTCTCCAGAGAACCTGTTTATTCATCATTCAGCCTGCTTTTTTCTTGCACAAAGCTTACATGGAGGGAGGTTAGACTATGTCCAGTCTTTGCTTGAGCATTTGTTCACATTGCAGCAATGAGCACAATTAGTTCATACTTTTCGGTACATTTCCTTATCATTTGCCTAACCAGAAAAGTCATTTAAAAGAGCAGATTTGTTGTGCTAGGACGACAGAGCCCTTTAACCCATTTTAATTGCACACACCTGAATTTCCAACATGTGCTTGGACCCCTTCTTCAAAACAGTGACAGCCTGAAGGCACCCTAAGTTGGCAGTGCAGAAGGCTCCCAGTGAAATTCTCCTGCTGCAGATGACATGCAGTTTGGAGAAGGCCATTTCAGGTTCTGAGAATGGATGTGAATGGGCAGAACCAAGAACAGCAGGGCTCTGCCTCGGGAAGGAACGAGTGTCGTCGGAGGCCTCCTGCACTCTCAATGGGCCATTTGTTGGCCCTCCCAGCTGCTTGGTAGTCATTTATCTCCCCATTTTGCTGGGACAGAGGAGAGACTCATTGGGGCAGGCAGACAAATCACACACAGCCATTCATGTAGGAGCCATCGTATCCTCTGACCTTTCCAAAAGTACGGTACTAAGCATTCCCTGCTCTTTGCTGCTTGGAAGAAGGCAATTAAACTGAGAATCTGGAAGAGAGAGGGAGAAAGAGAGAGAAAGAAAGAGGTGCATCACGCTCCAGATAAAGAGGGTATATGTGGATTTTAGAGCTGCCACTGGAACACAGATTCCTGGTTCTGAAATAACAGTTTTGTTCATTGATTTTGCAGTTGTGTAGCGAGCAGCCATTAACAAGCTTCCCACTTAGGCTGGAGACGGATTATATGGTGTGTGTTTTTTCTCTCTCTCCCAGAGAAAGACAGAAAGAAAGCTAAAGGGTTTTTGGAATAAATAAATAAATAAATAAATAAATAAAAAGGAACACTGTTTGTAATGACTACATACACACACACCCCATTCCCCCCCACTTTCAGTTTTGCAAAACAAAACATTGCAAAATGCTTTCATTTTGGTCCAAAGAAATCATAGGATAAATATATACAGTAGACAACCGCATACCAGGGGCTTTAGTGGTGACCATTGGACCAGGTGGGGCAGTCAACAGACTCACTGGAGGCAGTTCTGATTTGTTTTGGTTTTCTCCCCATCCTTTCCCCTTGCAAATATAGGA